CCGGCAACTTGCTCCCAGAGAACTTTTGTGATCTTAATCCGGCTAAAAAAAAAAAAAAAGAACAGCACATTGAAGGCATAACATGCTGCTGAGGAGTCAGGTGCTCATGAGACAGCAATTTATAATCACTAAAAACAATTAGCTGTTATGTGTCAGTGATGTCAAAGAGCTGTGGACCTCTCATATAGTTGCCTGAGGGTATTATGTCACCTGGATGTCTTTTCTTGGTCCAGCCACCAAGACCTGCTCACACTGATGGCCAGTTTACTCTTCTGCATGCTCAGAGCTATTTGTGTTCTCCAACTGAGAAAGTCAACTGAGCCATGAGGCCCGCAGGCATCATCTGTTCTTGCCATCCCTCCTCCCTCTGTCTCACTGGCACACTCTTGACTGCCAACCGTAAGAAACTCCCACTATCTAAAAGAAGGTGTGGTGATTAGTTTCATCCAAGATAATTGCTATTTTTCCAGCACTTTGATTGCAGTATATAATTGTGTATATAATGTGGGTTATTTGTAAATTTGTATGTGTATGTTTGCTCGTCAAATGTGACAGCACAGTATAAGGCTGATCGGTGTGTAGCTGTTGCCATAGCAACTGACCAACTTGTTTTTTTCTCTTGTTCATTGGAGGAGTTTTTTTCTTCCTCACACTCTGATAAACAACTCTATTTCCATCCTTCTTAGTTTGTTTCTTGCTGCCCTCTGAACAAATATGTATTCACTTGTTGCTTAATTTGAGCACGGGGATGAGGAAAGAAAGGACAATGTGGAGATTGTGACATTTCTCTAACACTCATGTGCTATAATGCATCCTATTGTGCAGCTCACTCCCACTCATTTTTTTAAAAATATTCCCGATTACTTCTTCTGCTGTTCTGCAAAGTCCACCATAAGTTTGTATCTACTTATAGAGGCTTTCAATTGATATGATGCATTGTGAGGTTGTTTTGGGCTGAATATGTTTGGTATTCCATCTTCAGCTCCTGGTTGAGCTCCTCAGTTGTGTCATTGATTGCATTTGGACACCTGGTTAAAGCTTGATATTGATGGACCTCATCAGGGACCTTGATGATTCTGATAATGACAAGAGTAGGTGTGGGTAGGAGCACATGGTGAATGGAGAGACATTAAAAAGGTTCCAGACTTCACAGCAAAGGTCCATGAGGAAAAATCTCCACAGCAAAAAATAAATAATACATTGATTGTGTTGTTTCAATTAGCAAATGCTCCACAATTTTTACCGGCAGTTTAAGGGGAATAGCGGCGTTTAACGCTCAGTCAATAAACTGGGCTAAACTGGCTCCTAAAGTCAAGACATTTCCTTAACTCGTCTGTTTAACCCCTACAATCACAGAAATATCCCTTTATCCTTCACTGTTTATTTCTGGCTCTAACATGAAAATGCACACAGACAAACTGAAACACTATAAACAGACATCTACAGACACACAAATAGTAGCTTATTCAACCTCCGTGTCCTCCTGTATGTCATGTGACCAGCCAATGTTGGAGGGGAAAGGAAGGCCTCGACTTAATTAGGCTGAGGCCAATCAGAGAAGATGGAGGAGGACACTGTTGTCTGGCGCCTTGGGGCTTCTTGGGTCCTGCAGGCTCATCTGTCTCTCACACACACACACACACACACACACACACACACACACACACACACACACACACACACACACACACACCCAATGCTCCATGCTGTGCATGTTGAGAGATGTTTTCTACCCACAAAAGGTTGAATACCTCAGTTAAAAGAAAAGCTCACAGGTAGACAATCCAGCAATGAAATGGAGGATAGCACCACTTACTTCTAGAGACACAAATGACACATTTATATGCACACCAATTCATCAGAATCAAAAATTAGCCCTATCAAAGTTTCATCATCTCACTTAGATAATCTGTGACCTGATACTGATACTGCGTTCTTTGCATTCAAGACTAAAATCATGCCTTGTAACAACAAACATACACACTATCACCATACTTGTTAGTTGTTGTTTTTTCATTTCTCAAGCCTCTGCTTTGGCTAAGTCCAGCGCGTGTGTAAGCATGTGTGTTATGAGTATTGATTGACATAAACCTACACTCTGCTGTTCTTTGAGGGATGGTAGGATAATCAGAGATTGTTGTGTTAGTCAAACAGCAGCGTCAACATCATGTGCACAACAATGATAGATTGCGTGGACCACGCCGATGACAAGTCCAGTCATCTGCCAGTCGCCAACAAGAAGCAGATGATGTCAGCTTCCCATCTGTATTGAGTTATCAGGTTGATTGAGTGTAATTGAGCGATGCATCGGAGTGCAGAGAGAAGACACTGAGCCTCTGGAGAGAATGGAGGGAGGAAGGGTGTTTCAGGAACCAGGAAATGCTGTACAGCACCAGGGCTGTGTGATTTGATCTGTCAATGACTCACTGCCTCGTAATCAATTAAGAGGACTGAATGAGCTCCTCACAGATCTGAACTTTGAGTCATACAAAGGTTTCTTATCTCTGGCAACATGGTGAAAACAACTGAAAGCATCTGCTACAATCATCTTCAATCCAACATCAATCATTAATCAAATCAAAGAAAGTAAGAGCAAAATATTGAATATGGTATGATATGGACTTTTTTCCCCTGAAAGAAAAAACACATGTAATGAAAAATGTTCAATCATCCCCACTGTATAAGTATACATGTACAATCTAAGCAATTCAAAACAAACTATTTGCCATAAATTCTATCATAAGCCATTTCACACATTCCCTGCACTCCTGAAAATGTCCCATCATTTTTCGGGCTGGGGATGCATGTGGAAAATTAAACAGTAGAATTTTATACCTCCTCTTATCTGGACTTTTCATGCAAGCCCTGCAGTCAAATTTTCGCAAAAGGTCAAGGTGAGCCAATGTTGGAAAATGGCAGGATAGAGTCAGGGAATTCACAACAATCAGTTGGACGGGGGTGACATTGTTTATATAATTCCTGGGGCAGCAGGAGTTCAGTGTGTAGGGACTTGGGTTGGGAACCGGAGGGTCGCCGGTTCAAGTCCCGGTGCGGACCAAATATGGAAGTTGGTCTGGTAGCTGAAGAGCTCCAGATCACTTCCTGAGCACTGCCGGGGTGCCTTTGAGCAAGGCACCAAACTAACCCTCCCAAACCCCCTCCCTTGAGCAAGGCACCAAACCCCCTCCCCACCACCAGCTCAGGAGCGCCCGCTGTGGGCAGCTCCGTCACTCTGACATCTCTCCATTAGTGCATGTCCATAGGATCCTGTTTGTGCATGTGTGTATATTTCAGCCTATGTGTGTGTTGCATGATAAACAGAGTGTAAAAACAGAATTAAAACAGATCAATAAAGTAAATCTTAATCTTCTTAATCTTAATCTTAATGCTTCTGGTGGGATCCTCATTCACATAGTGATGCTATTTAATCCTTGTTTTCTTGCCATTATGTTCTGTTCCACTCTGAACAGATTTCGTTGAATTTGTCCAATTATACTTGGAATTCTTGCCCCACTGATCTGAACCAGGTTGGAACAATCTGTCTGGAAGGGAGAGTAACCAGACAGATATGTCAGAGAAAATTCAACATACTGTAACACATAACAGCTAAGATGTAAGATCTAATTTGGAGGACAATCATCGTAGTTGCCAATGGTCTAGCGTAACTAGTGAGTGAACTTCCTCTGTGCTTTCCTATGGAGGTCAATCCAATCCCACAGTTGTATTGTCTAGGCATTAAGAGCTTGATGCATTAAGGAAAGAATCATAGCATTCATTTCCAGTTCATAAGTAACACAAATAACACTGCATTAAGCTCCTCTGACTCAATTTTTTTGACATTTTACAGATATAGATCAGCTCAAGCCCCGATGAGACTCAGAACAGGATGAGCAGTAAAGATAATGGATGGATGGATGGCATTCAGTTTTATGTTTGGAATGATTTTTATTTAACACACTTATGAAATGCCAATTGGAGAAGCAGCCATAAAGATCCAAAATATGAGTGTGTATTTTTATGCAGATGACTTGCACATTCTATGTTTCTTTTGGTATAATACATGAAAAAAATGATGAAATTCTTTTTCAGATGTTTCTGTCTGCATTTCAACATCAGTGGAGTATTCATTGAAGACATTTTAAACTATTTTTATTGTGAAAATGTGGAATTATTTCAATATGTATTCCAATTCTGGGTTAGCATTGACTTTGTTACACTTTCTAAATCTTCAGATATCTACATAATGTGACAATATCAAAAAGGTTAGGCCTGTTTTATGTTGTGTTTTCGCAGAAATTGAAATAGATCAATACAAACAAAACAATTGGCAGCCAGCACATCATTATAGAGCACTATCATCTCAATGCATGCATCTACCATATCCAGCTGCCTTCACATCCTTCACACGCAATCATTTGTACGCTGCTATTCTCGCCTGCCACTGAGAGATTTTGCATAATTGTGTCAGTCACTGAAAGCCCCAGTGGACCGAGCGAATGTTACTTTTGTTTTGAAAACCTTTTGAAACGACCTTGCTTCACTAACACAAAAGTAGCCTGACAACCATGAGCCATGAAAACATTTTACACATGCAGTTCGGATGGTACCCTGGCGTTTTGATTTTTTCAAAATATTCAGCCCATTTATGTCAGCTGGATCAAGAAGGAGCTGTCTTTGTTTTTAATTGATGGAAACGCTTTGGCGGTTGTCTATATACTGTAATTCACTGCCAGTCCATTGTCTGTCTGTCTGTTGGTGTCTATCGCTCATTTACAGTGATGGGTTGAACATAATCCATGACTCACAGCATGCACAATTTACAAAAGGTGATTAGGTCTGACAGTTTGTTTCTAAAAAATCAATTCCCCAAAATGCAAAATGTGTTTATATGAATATTTATTCTGAGACATTTTCTCAGTTTGAAATACTTTGTCAGTATTAACATTAACTAGTAAATGAAAAACTTAAAATTGATCTTTCGTTTGTCTCTATCTCTGCAGACACTCTCTCAGTGCCTCGCTGGTCCCCACAGATTCCCCGAAGAGATCTGGGAAACTCAATAAAACACAGGTAGGCCTAAATAAATGTGTGTGAGTGTGTGTGTGTATGTGTATGTGTGTGTGAGAGTTTGCCCATTGTTCATACACCCATAAATCAGTGATAAAATACCTTCCCAATTAAAAAGGCCCTCTTGCGTAACTCATTTCTATTCTCTCTCTCTCTCGCTTTGTCTCTCACCCTGCTTGACTCCAAACGCCATGTGATCTAAAGAGTAAAACAATGACGTTCTAGTCAGGGGATCTCAGCAACCTCCAGTGTGTGGGTGTCGTGCCTGCTGAAAGTCAGCTAGGTGCTGAGAGAAACTTGAAGCCTCATCATACACAGCCACGCTGGGTGCGAATGTAATTTATAGACACTTTATTTGAAGATTGAGGCTGGTTTGAAGAGAAAGCCATATTACACTCAACAATCTCCTTGACGTGGCAATTTGCGTATTTCCATCTTCTGCCCTTTGTGGGCTTGCTAAGATAAGCGCATTTGCGTGGCGGGTACACATTGCACCAATTCAGCTTCAGGGGGCCTCGTCTGTGCTTGAAGAGCATTTATTTATTCAGAATCTGTTATAAGTGTCACATCTTCTTTGACATTTGACAGCAGGGTCCACTAAAATCTCCGCCAGGGGTTGGATTGAGTTGTGCCTCTCTATCAAAGTAAAGCAGGGGCTTAATGAAGAGATTTGGTTTCTGTCAAACTACATTAGTCACCTGCCATTAGACAGCGATTGGCACCAATAGCAACCAGGCGTCACTTCAGTAAATATTCAGACACCTGAGGGATCTGCTCAGTCAGTCTGTGCAGAGAATCAGTGCTACTACGGAGCACATTTTGGATTTGTGTGTTTGACTGCGTTGGAGCCTGTAAGAGTGGCTGATTGTTGAATTGATGTAAACTCTTTGGCCTCTGTCCAGCGCTGCAGAGAAAAAAAACGTTCGACATTCATTCGCAAAGGGTTACTGAGAGATGGAAACTAAATGGGACCAAATTAAATCAGCAGTTGAGGCAGATTAAGAAGGTAAACACTTTTACAGAAGCAGCTCCTTCATGCATCCATTATCCTCACAGAAAGGTTACACAGGGAATGTGAGGGCCTTCTTTAGCATAGCCGTCTGTCAGAATGAGAGAAATAATGAAAGACAAAAGGTCAGGAGCAGTGTCCTCCTCACGCTTATCCACAGCTCGTGCATGTCATTTCATATGTCTGGGCAACCATCCGAAAGTAATGTCCTGATTTGTATTTACTTTTTGTCCTTACTTCACTCTTTCTTCTTTTTCCTACAGATTTTCCACAAAGTATTGGATGTCCCAGACATGCACAGTATGTGGAAAGGGAATGTTGTTTGGACTGAAATGTAAAAACTGCAAGTAAGTATCAAGACAGTATTGTGTCATCTGTACCATATATGGCAATGATAAAGCAAAAGCAATATGTGAAAATGCATATTTTATACAGATACCTTTAATATGATCAGAGAATGAATGTGTATCTAGCTTGCTTTTCTCTGTAAGTATTTCTTAATAGTTTTGTAAGGTGGCATTTCATTATAATCCCCCTTCTTTTTTTCCTACTCAATCAAAATAAAAAAAGTTATTATTTTGCATGTGACGCTAATGCCCCCTGTTTTTGTCTGAACTCAGGCTGAAGTGCCACAACAAATGCACCAAAGAAGCCCCACCTTGCCATTTACTGATCATACAGCGAGGCGGACTAGAATCCTTCAAAGGTACGTTTTTTTGTGCCATCTAAATTTTCAAGATCTAGGTTTCATAATTAGTATATATCTTTATTTTATATATATATATATATATATATATATGTATATGTGTGTGTGTTATATTAAAGTTATCAATTATGTAGGGTTGTTGTTTTTCCAATGACTACAAAGAAATTGATAACAAGTTACATGAAACTTTCCCAACACTGATTGTTTCTAAAGCCTCTACTCAAAATTGTTAGTCCTTAATGTTACTAACTGAGCCTGTACCAATGAGGTTCTTCATCCTGTTCACACAGGAGCCTTTTTTCTTCAACACCCACAGCTCACATGTATGATTATGTATTGCTGTATTCAAAGTTTGCAAGTTGTGTAAACAAGGAATCTGACTAGTCTTTATGTTTTCATCGACAACAGAGAGGACAGTACATAGTGAAAATCTGGAGGGACATCAGGCCATATTTAAAGGTAAAAATGTATATATATCTATACAGTATATAACCCATGAGTTACTGTTCATTCGCAAAATCTTCCATTAACTTCAATCTAAGATTGGAATTGAAGCATTATTTTTGAATGGTCTGAGACAATCATCCGATAATGGTTGCAAGGAAGCTTTGAAATGAAGTGTCAGATACTACATTTATATGACTTGGAAACCTGGTAAACAGTAGTTTGACATTAGAGATGTGAAGGCGTCCCACCGTTAGCATATTGTCAGAGAAAAAAACAGCCACCCTGTGATTGGTGACTATATAGATATTGAACAAAATATATCAGGGTACGGCTGTTTATTAGTAGCAGAACTACATTTAAATGATGTTGTGTGAGTGCTAAGAGTTCTCTTCTTTTCGATGATACCTAATTTAAAAGAGTGGAAGAGCCTCTGTTGGCCTACGCAGATAGAGGTTGGCTTCTGATTAATTAGGCCATAAGTTTTGACGAATGTGACTGCTTCATGCTCTGTTTTAACGGACACAGTGAATAAAATGGCTGTTTTCTCTCTATCAGAATTGAGATTAATTTGTCCTTTCTCTGCCTCCTCCTCTCCCCCACATTAGACCACCAAGGAATAACTCAAGGTAAGGAATACTAATTAGACTTCTAACTGAGTTCTTTAATGAGAGAAAATGACAGTTTCTTAATGATTTGATTGTTCCAGGAAACTTTTATCCTTCAAAAGAGTATGAGATAAAAAATTGGATTCTGTCAAGGAAGGGCTTTTTGCCCATTTTTTTAATTTAAGAGTATGACCTGATTAAAGAGTTTCTCCTAATTTTCTTCAAGCTAATAGTAAAGTATTGTTTAATTTTTTTGGTTCTTCCACAGTGTTTTATTGTTCCTCTGTTTGTGTTTTCTTTTCTGTAGTAGCTCGTCTGGTACGAACTGAATCAGTGCCGTGTGACATCAACAACCCGCTCAGGTACACAGACCTGCACATCAGTCAGACGCTCCCCAAAACCAACAAAATCAACAAGGTAAGTGTAGAAAATAAACCCTGGATCACAGTATGCGTGTAACTTGTCCTACATATCACATTTCTTCCACTTTTGCGGGCTTGAAAATGGTTATGAGTCATAGTGTTTTTTCCCAGGGGATCATGAAACTGTACGAAAATATCTTCTGCAGCGTTTCTTTTGACACAGATGGATTTGTTTTCATACACTGAATATTTTGCACTCAAACAATTTTAGTTCCAGAGAAAAAAAAAAGGGTGTCACAAGATTCCAATGTTTGTAAGACAGTGATGGAAATGTTGTGAATCAAATTTGAGTGTTAAGACATAAATGGGTGTGTATGAATACATCATAAAAAAACTTGTTCTTGTCCTATAACATGATCATATTGAGGCATATTGTAAACACAGATCGCATTTTATATTCGGAATTGTAGCTGATATTTTGACACCATCAAAATAAGATTTTATGAGAAATAAACAGTATGAGAATGAGTACCAACGTTCAACAAGAAGGATATTTAAGAGCAATAGGGATTCACAATCATGTAGGGAGACTCAGCTTTGGTTGTGAGCAGGAAAACAGTTTGGAGTAGGTGTGGAGAGTAAAAGAGGCTGAATTCATCCGCCTGTAATGCAAAACTGTGATTTGAAATTTGCTTGGTTAAAAGAAAAATAGACATCCAAATGCAAATGCACCAAAAATCCTTTTCATGGACTCTATTCATGTTTCTCAACTCCAACTCCATTCTCATTTGCTTAACCTAAAGTCAGGTAAAGATAGCCCTCGCTCCCAGAAGTTTTACTACTGTGAGATCATAGCTCATAGATTGGACCCAGCCTTACTCTGCTGGTTTGGCACATAACAAAGCCCTCTTGACAAAGTGCTCTTGATAAGTTGGATGTTCCTGCAGTCAGGTGTGCAGACTCTGATGTGACTCATGTGACCGTCAGAAGGGTCCATCAGAGAAAAAGTTGGCGTAAATACGAACCAGTTTCTGAAGCTGATTTCACATAATTCATTTGGATGAATGAGAGAAAAGTGTAAAGGAGTATTCAGTGTTTGTAGAGATTGCATATACCTTACATCATTTTAGACTATTTTCAAAATATGCTCTGAATCTTCCAATTGATTTCTCTTCTTCAAGACAGCCATTGATATCCCTTCATATTAGTATTCTACAAAGATGTACTGAAGAGTCTTAAACTCCACCTTTTTTATTTGTCTTTCTTGAGGAAGATAATCCATTAAAAAATAAAGTGTTGTTTTTGTGAGTTATGGTATGATCTGTTTTTTTTTTTTTTTAAATTGGAACATTCAAAGATGCTTTGACATCCGAGATTTAAGACTTCTCTGCTGGGCAAACTTTTTTGCTCAATAATTTTTTCACAGCACCAATATTTGCTCACTTTTCATCCTTTTGATTAGAATTCAGACGTTTTTTTAAGAAAGGGCTTTGTCAAAAATCTGTAAATTCAGGAGATACGGGAAATAGTGATTGTTTCAGAGGGACGGGCAAAATAGAAACGTGTGCTCACAGAAGATCTGGTTTTTCATTCTTAATTAAAATAATGATTTATTGATGGAGGTCATGGTGACACAAATCAGTTTAAGTCAACAGCATGGAAAATCCAGCTGGCTGAAATATGCACAAATTTGATGTGAGCATGCATGTACCTTAGCTTTCCCAATTCAATTATAGCTAACATTATTTTCTGGATGTTGAGGCATCCTTGAATGCACCACTGAAGGCACATTTGAAAAACGCTTCCTGTTCATAACTGCAGCCCTTCACTGGGATAACACAACTATGTCAAAAAAGTACAGGCAGGAAATAGCTCATTGTGATGGATCACCTCTGTCGGGCAAGTCTCAAGTCTCAGCAAGTTGATTTTCATATTGTGCGGAAATTAATGACAACCAAGAGCTGCCTGGAGGGTAGAAAATCAATCTGGTAACTCCTGGTGTGATTCAGAGAGAGTCCAACATGAAAGTAAAGTGCAATTGTGACTAACAGACTAAAACTTGCAGTATAAGAACGACCGTTGACAGTTCTCTATTCTGTCTCTTCTCAGGATCACATCCCTGTCCCGTACCAGCCAGACTCCAGCAGTAACCCATCATCCACCACCTCCTCCACCCCGTCCTCCCCAGCTCCTCCCCTTCCAAGCAGTGCCACGCCCCCCTCACCGTTACACCCCTCCCCACAGTCAGCTCGACAACAGAAACAGTTCAACTTGACAGGTACAAGAAGGCTAATAGGAATATTAGAGAAAACAGACCACTTTCAGCTAAATATTAATGTGTCATGATAACGTGCTCTCGATGACTGTGCTTACAGACTGACCTTGAAACAGAATATTTTTTACAGTGAGTTCCATCATAGGTCAGCATGCTAACATTTGATATGCGGCACCAAACACAAATCACTGATCACCTGATCACTGATGGAAATGTGATACCTCAATGGTCACACCAGCAAAATCAGAGTGTCGTCTTATTGGCCGATCACATAAACAGAAAAGGCCACAAAGGACCAATGCTGCTATTGAATCTTAAAGCTGATGATGAGCTTATATTATCTTGTATCCCCCACTAGTAAGAACTGTTGAAATATTGTATTTTTGACCTAAATTGTAAAGTTACTTGGTCAATGAGTGGACTTGAGTATTTTGGTTTTGATCAGGTTTTTTAACTACCCCGTTATTGTGTTTGTGCATGTAAACTTATCCCGATTTCAGAGACCGTGATAAGCCGTTATCCCAATTTTGAGATACACCATTATGCTACCTGGAGAAAACAGTTACTGTGGCATGTATACGCCTCGGTTTCTGACAGCTGCCGAGCTAACTGCGCTGATGCAACCTCAGCCAAGTGACGTATCAACAAAACAAACATGGTGGCGTGTTACTTCTTGTATTTGCTGTCATTTTCTTCTCCTGTTACTGGAAAGTAGGTGGATCCGTCAAATCTGCAATGCCATAAGTGCTCACTTAAAAGACAAAAGTGTATTTTGCATAATATGTGACCTTTAAATGATCTCGTAAAAACAATGGCCTTTTTAAAGAAGCACAGTTTATTCTGAAAATTACAGTGGTTTACTGTATATGGCATCCTTTGATAATTCATGCATTGATTTTGCCAAAAGAAAAAAATTCTGCATAGAAGGGAAACCAGACAATAAAAGACAAGAGTTCATGTGATAGATTTAATCCCTTTACATAACATTTTATTCTCTAAGCTTTTTACAGTATAAAGATTCAACTAACAGTGAGGTTTTACATTTGTAAGTCCTCATGAACTCAAATCAAACATACATTTTTCATTTTATCTCTTTCTGCAGCATCAAGTTACTTCAAGTACAAACAACAATTCATCTTCCCAGGTAAGGGCCTCGTAATTGATCATTACCCATATTACACTGCAACCAGCCCAGCAAGTAAGGAGGTGGAGGGTTCTTTTTAATATTGTTGTTGTCCTTCATCTCCTCGCCTTGGCCTTGCTTTAAGACTCTTAGCCCTTACACCCACTCATTGCCTCTCATTTGGGCCTCCTAATGATTCGTCAATGCCCAGACTCTTTATTTTGCCCACACTGGTACCTCACAGTCTATGCTCATTTGGCAGCTTATTAAAGGCAACCTGGACTGGAGTCTGAGAAAAAGAACAAGGCGTAATTGAGATCTGGGGATACAGGGTTTTTGGAAAAGGGTAAATATACAGCAGACAGCGTCTCCGAGGTTCTGATTGTAGTCTGTTTTACAGCTAAATTACATCAGCTACCTTTGTGAGCTGCATAACAGCACGGTCAAACACATCCATTTACAGTTTGTCTCATCAGTCTAAATCTATTATCCTCTGAGTGGACCTGATGTCACATTTACGTCATACTAAATTTACTGTAAATGCTGGCTTTTGTTTTGAGAAGGAATGGAAACATGACCCCCACAAAGACAATTTGATGGATGAATATTTATTTATTTATTTTCCACACACAAGTAAAGGGCTTATTTGCGGCATCACAACAGGGTCAGGTGTATTACAGTTAGAGATGTGCAATATGGCAATAAACAAGACAACTCATGGGGGTGGCGGTAGCCTAGCGTTTAGTGTGCGCACCCCATGCACACAGGCCATAGTCCTATAAGCGGGCAGGCGGCGTTAAAGACTAACCTGTAGCTCTTTTCCTGCATTTCATTTCTCTCTCTGTCCTATCACTAAAATAAAGGCATAAAAAAAAAAAACAGACCTTGAAAAAAAAACAAGACAACAAACCCTTTTCTTTTTTTAATATTATCAAAAATGTATATGATATAAATTGTTAAAGGATATCCTCATCCACTTAGTTTATGTATTCAGCGATTCCTTCAGTGTTTACCATATATTACGGAGACATTTAAAAAAAAAAAAAAGATTTTAATATCTTCCAAAATGATTCAGGTTCAAATTCAGGGATTCACTGATGCTCTTTGGCATCCACAGGAAGTCTGCTCAGAGGGCTTTTAGTCAAGCAGCGGCAAACTTTGTACAATCAATGTCTTGTTATCATCATTTTCTCAACACTACCAGAATTTGGGAGGACACATTTCTCTGTTGCTTTCAGTTTGAAAAGTCCTGCTCTTTTTCCATCTGCAGTTCAATCTAGCTTTGCAGTATGAAGTGGGAGTTTCCTTGCACGTGTACGTCATGGCGAGCAAAAAACTTCAGAGCTGCAGAGTCGCTTTTTTTTCTGCTGTGTGATTGGATGTTTGATCAAATGAAAATACCCAAAGTTTTAAATTTGATCCATTTTATCCAAATCCCCATGTCAGTGATTTCCAAAGTGTGGGCTGCAGCCACTACTTTCACTGCAAAAGAACATAGTGGTAAATACATGATTGTGGTCTTCAATGTTAATCAGATGACATATGCTATTACATATTTGGGTGGCTCCAGATCCCTTTCAGATTTTAAATTGCGCTGCTACATTCGTAAGTGTGTGAATGGCCGTGCTAAGAGATAATTGTATCACCCAGCTCTGATTCTAGGGTACATTTTTGGTACAAGGCTCTGCGTCACACCATTGGCCGATTAAGAGCTTCCAATCCTCCTGGCTCTCTGGTCTTTAGAGTAAATCCATGCAAACATCCATACAGGCTCCACACAGAAAACAAAAACCCCGTCCATCTCACTGTATGCCAGCTCCTAATGCACTGTGTCACAAAGGGAGTTTTTTTTTCTGTGGCTCCCAGTTTGTGTCACAAATTGTAAGAGTGTGCCAACGCAGACGACAACCGTGGCAGCAAATCCTTTCATGTCTTTCAGAGGTAGATTAAACACAACAGCTGACCTCACTCATCTTACATGTGGAAAAGGAGTGCCAAAGACTGCTGTTTCTGTGTCTTAGATAATGCTGGCATGCTCAATGTGCTGCACGTCTGTCTATGGTGATCACATTAAATCTGCATGCTCTAAAGACACATGCTGTGATGGTGCATCAGAGTTTCGCTGATCAATAGGAACATTTTCTACAGTGACTGATATTACCATAAAGATAATGTCAGGAAAGAAATGTAGCAATTCAGTGTGATTAGGAGTATGTGGAGGTGTTTCCATTTTCCAGCATTTTTCTGCAATCAAATACATTTTTGCACGATATACTCGTGTGTTAGAAAATGCAACATTTTATTGTCAAATGTTGTCACGCCTGATTGATGCAATTACAGTGACAGACAATAGCAAAGGCTCAGCAACGGCTCAAGCGATATACCTTAAGAAAAATGTGCAGCTTATTCAGAATAAGATGATGTGATGCGACGAACGATTAAAATTCAGGACAGTCAAAAAAAAAGTCCTAAACAAATGCAACGACTGAAATTCACTACAAATGAAACAAGCAAAACACAAAAAGCTGACACAACTAAATTCACATTGAAAGCGCTGAAAATACAAAATCGCTGCAAATTAAAAAAACAGCAACAACAACACATTGTCCAAAATCAGAAACTTGTAGGACAAATCAATCCACAGTTTTTGCAGCTTCTCTGTGAAAATAAAGATACATAATGGAAGGTTATATTATATTCTTGAAACACAAAATATCCAAGGAAGAAAACTAAGTGGGACTGTACAAAAAGAGCTTTACCAGAAAAAGTATCTAGATATGCAGTGATATGTTTAAGAATGAATTACTTGTCCAAGGACCTTTTTTAAAGGTAGGTTTGGTAATCTTATCTAGCATAGATTGTTTATTTTATTTGTTAAACTGTTCTTCACATCTGACAGAAATCAATAAATCATGTGCTCTGAATAAGGACAGAAAAAGGGCCGTTATCTCAAGCTGATGTAATCCTGTAAAAACTCTGACCTATCACTGCCATGAATCTTGATGATTAGTACTCATTAAATGTCTCCCTGGCTTCATTTTTATACTCCATTGCAACGTCTGCCGGGGTAGGGTTAAGAAAGCTTAGCTAAAATGACCATTGCCACGGTTACTTGTACAGTAAGGGCTCGCCATTCCTAACAGGTCAAGAAAAGAAAGATGACGGCAGCAGGTGTAGATGGAGCCCTAAGAAGATGTTACTTTTCAAATATTGATAGCTTTCCAGAACTAACAACACTGCCTTTAACTCCACTGATCAGTTTCTGAAAGAGGAATGTGTGCTCCTTGCACCAGTTCCTCAAACTGATAGTTACTTGGTCAATGAGTGGAGACCACCTGACAGAGCATGTTAAAACGACTCAGTTGTGAATGCTAATTTGCTTCAATTTATTTTTGTAACCCTCAAACCTCCAGATGTTGCACCAGAAGCTCCACCAAGCAGAGCGCCACAGGTCATCCTGCACCCTGTCCTGTCTGAGCCAGGGTGAGTACAATTTATTAACCAAAACATATGTCTGCCTTTAAATAAATAAAGAAGGTACTTCTGATCGTCATCAGGCGCATGTTTCCTCTCAGTCATCGTACTCTTTCCTACATGCTCCCTCGTCTCCTCCTCCTCTCTGCTGGCTGCTGGTCAGAGGCCAAGTCAGACTCATTGGAGCACGGATATTTGGGTGACAAATCCAATGCTAGGACCGACATGACGAATACTCAGAGACTAATGTTAGCACGGCCTTTAGTTCATGCTACACTTGGGATGCCAGCTGGATTTTCAGTAGCTCTGTGAGGACGCCAGTGGTCACGGGAAGACAACCGGAAGAGGAGGAGGTTTGATGAGATGTCCTTCGACCCAGATGTTCATTAGATTAGGATGTCAATCCATCAGAAGAAAAAAACGCAAGAGGATGATGGTCAATTGTCATGAAATATAGACTGTACCCTTGGATGATAATGGTTAAATCAATAGCAAATAATGTCACTGATAATTAAATTTTCAAAATATCAACATGGTCTTCAAATAGGTCCTAGATAGAGGAAGTCAAATGGTTTTTAATTTAAAAGTACAGCATGGGGTTGTTCATCTCAGTAATGTATTTAGAGTTTGAAAATAAAATGCTGGGTTTTTGATGTCAAGCTCCTTTAGCAGCTGCAAGCTTTGAGATAAAACATGGCAAAAGACGACTGGGAACAATAAGAATCAGACAAAAAAAAAAACCATACAGGACAAATACAAAGGCATCAGTGGGCTTCACATTTGTTTTGTTTTTTAATAAAATGGCAATGTTTGAGGTGTACAGCTACATTCATTAACATAATGATTATGATGCAGCTTGAAGATTATTCTCCGTTTGTTCAGATTTAATTCAGTCGTGTAACTGTGAAGGCTTTTACCGCCACTTCTGCACAAGAAGTGACACAATCATGTAGGAATACTGCAGCTGTGAAGACTGTTCACCTCTATGGGAAGACAAGATGATGGAGGATTCAAAGGGTTGTTTGCCAGCTCCTCTGAGCTAAATGAGTTGATGGACAAACTATAACACTAAACATATAACTACTAAACAATCTATTTAGCTCAAAATCACACAGTTATTTTGATTTTAAGCTTTTAACAATTACAACTCATGTGGCTATAGCATCGTTGTTTGCAAAAATTATAATCTTGGTTTAATCTTTATCAGGACAGCAGTGACGTCAGCTTGTTTTCAATAAATGTACAATCTCTAGAGACAGAGCAGTAGAGAATGAATGAAGCTTTCTTACAATGCAAGATGTCAGCTTGTAGAGGATTCATTCAGACACCCCCCCCCCCCCATGTCCTACCTTCTTCGCAAGGAGTGAGTTAACTGTGTTCTTCTGACCCAATAAGCTTACACACTCAGGCTGATGATAGCAGGCCAAGAATTCTTCACAGAGCAAAGCTTTGAAGTTAAATGATGTCTATTACCTTCAGACCATAGAAGGTATAAAAAGACAGACAGCATGACAGCTCCCCAGAAGTGAAGCCAAAGTCTTTGGTGCACCCTTTACTAACTTGCTGTATTATAGGTTATAAAGCCCTCCTTCTCTGTGTTTACAGGCATGAGCCAAACTTTAAAATCAAAGAACACGTCGACTGTGGAAGCCAGATTAATGAAACTGAATTCATAGTGGCTACTGACTTCTGACTTGGGTTGTAGATTGTGACAATATTTCATTTGAGGAAATATTTAAAAAGATTTATGCAACCAAACAACATGAAACATGTCTAAAACACGTGAATCTCCACTTATTTTCTCTCGTGTTACCATTGAACTAAACCTCTGTTCCTCACTCACACTCAGATGAATAAATCACTGCACTTATGAACCCAAATTCCTCTGTTTTAATTCATGCTATTGTCCCTCCTTCCCCCACATTTCTGTATGCTCTTACAGTAGCAGCTGGCACATTTCTTAGGCTTTAATGGCCTCGATCCGGGGTTAATGAGGGCCTGTCTCAGACCCCAACACCCGGCAGGTACTCCTCATTAGAGCTGGTGTCAGTGGCCTTTGGCGCCACAGGAATCACATAAATGTATACGCCAACTCACCTGTGGTCTCTGCCCAGAGTCCAGAATTAGCCTTAACCCATGTTAATATACCACAGAGAGACTTAGAGAGGTTATGTGCTCATGTTACACAGCCAGTTAGGCGGATGGAGGTGGGTTGGTTAAAGAGAAGACCAACCGTGTAGGTGACAGTGTACAAGAGGGGTCAGAATTTAATAGGAGTTCAGGGCACGAATGCTCTTAATATTTCATTAAAGACAAAGAAATTGAGAGACGCAGTCAGAAAAGGATGCCAACAATAAGGTGTGACCTGTCTTATATTTAATCCTATTTATATTCTTGTATTTATCTGTCAAATAGTGATATATTATATATTTTACTTTATTTGTCCTTGGGGGCAGTGCAAAAAAACAATTCTTGGCAGTGAAATATTAAGTGGTGGTTGAGAAAGAAGACACACTGCCTTATTTAGCAGAATAATATCAATGAAAATACCAGCTTCACTCACACACACACACTCACAAATTTCACAATTTCACAATAATAAAATGTTTGAAACTAAGGAGGGGAAATGTTACTATTATCTTCTGTCACGCCTATCGCTCGTTTTTAGTTGTAATGCTCGCTCTAAAATACTTGTTTCACTGAACAGCATTTTTTTTATAAACTACAATACTACGAAGTAAAAAGCGTTTTACACCACAAAGTTATATGTTTAAGAAAATAAAATGTGCAATATGCTGTTTTTGCATCATGCATGTCATTGTCATTAGCATGTAGCCATTAGCATCATTAGGATTTTTTGTTAATCTGTCTTCCACAGATCAGTGGTACCAGTGATGAAAGTAAATAAGTATGCTTCCATTATTACAGTAATCAGAAACTAATTATTTATATATTATGTAGTACTGATTTTTACTAAACTTGATTCAAAATGAAAGATGGAAAATAAAATTGATTCAAAAATGTAGTCCAGTGATTTTTCAGGGGTGCTGAGATACAATTTAAGGGTGCCCCCTAAAAAGGGTCAAAAATTACTATGGGGTACAATTTTAATAATCAAATTGTTATGTGTTCTACTTTGGTTATGTTCTTTCTAATGTTTTTTTTCTCCATCTCTTCTTCTTGCTTTTAGGAATGAAGGAAACCCTTTACTCCAGATTGAAGTTGAACCTACATCAGACGTGAGTCCTTTTTTCAAAGACCTTTGTGATGCCTTTAAGAGAAAACAAGTTTGTGATTTTTCACACTGTTTTACTTCCCCACATTTTTGTCAGTAGCACCATTGTGTTACAAGAAATTAATCGGAATTTACATTTTCTGACCACACACATCCCGCATTGTTCATTCATTTAGCATATTTCCCTGCTCTCTGAGAAGCTTCCATGTGAATTATGCGTCAAAGCAGCGAGAGAGAAAAAAAACACACACCTTCAATGATTGTCATCACTGTTCCTGCAACAATGATATATATTTATGGAAGATGTGATGCAGATTGCTTTGAATAATATTCCAGAGGAATCTTTGAATAGGTCATTTCCAGTCCTGCACTCCATTATAGTTAAAATCTAATCAGAACAAATAAGATCGTTTTCCCCACTCGGCTGTGTTTATCTTTCCTAACTCTCAGATATTTTACTATTCGTAAACAAAGTATATATAAACTTAAATTTTATCTTGGCTAAAAATAACATTGTAACAATTGTTAGTTTTTGTTGTTGTTCTTTTTTTACTGCTTTTCTTATGATTATAAATGTTTTTTTTTACCTTCATTACTTATTATCAAAATGCCCATCGATCAGATGACACATTAAGGAATGACAGTCAGCACAATCTTCTAAAAATTCCTTTAGTGTAAGAGAAGAGTCTTTATTATTCTCCTCCAGGTGCTGGCTGGCATTTTCCATTTTTGTAGTATATCATTAACCGCCTCATTAAGATGTATGAGGTCATTTTTAATCCCCATACTCAACCATCTTCGAATCTGTAAAATGTGGGTGTACTTTTAGACACAAAGCATTCATATTTTGATTATTTACAGAATGAGGAATGCAATGACGAGGACTCTGGAGACGAATTTGAGGAGATGAACCTGTCGCTCCTGTCTGCTCGTAACTTTCCGCGCAAAGCCAGCCAGACCAGCATCTTCCTGCAGGAGTGGGACATCCCATTTGAGCAGCTGGAGATCGGGGAGATGATTGGCAAGGGGCGCTTCGGCAAAGTTTTCCACGGACGCTGGCATGGCGAGGTGGCCCTCCGCTTGATCGACATCGAACGTGACAATGAGGACCAACTGAAGGCCTTCAAGAGAGAAGTGATGGCCTACCGAAACACCCGCCACGAGAACGTGGTCCTGTTCATGGGCGCCTGCATGAGTCCACCACATCTGGCCATCATCACCAGGTAAGGATGAAGGATGTAAGACGTTGTGCTGTATAGAAAGCATTGAGATGAACTTTACGGATGATGTAGTTTGATTCTTTCTTTGGAGAAGCCCCAGTTTCTTGCAGTATCTTTTCAGGGTCCCGATTCTTGAGACAATGTAATGCTGATGTGCCAAAATAATGTCTAATTTAATATCTGCATACAAGCTCCAACACAATTAATCAGATCTTTTGAGACCTTGTCAAACTGTTGTTTTAAAGCAGGACATTCTAAAGAGAGTTAATACTCAGTCAATCGGGGGTACAGACTACACAAGGAAGTTTTTCCTAATAACTTCCCAAGATGAATTTATGACTTTAATATGAAATCATTATGAAATATGAAATTATTCACCTAATGTGGACCTAATACTCCTTTGTAAATTCTCCCCTTCTCGAAGAATGTCAAATTTTTTAATCTTTTCTGGAAGAACATTTTGCTTGAAACATCTTTGTGTGGTTTGAAATTCTACAAGATCTGTGAATTTGAATAATGTTGACTGTAAGGATAGTAAATTCCTGTGATCTCGATATCCGATGTTGAGAATGATTCTTATCGCTCTTTTTTAAAGAATATTTAGTTAGTTAATGTATTGTATTGTTGGAGGTGTTGCCCCAAACCTCAGCACAGTAACTTACTGTAAATAAGTTAAAACCAGTGAACGTTAAAGAATGTGGTCTTTGAACTATGAGTTTGTTTCTCAGTGGTAAGGTATCCTCGGGCCCTACAAAGCTTGTCCTTGTCCTCTGGGACTCCTCTTGGATCACACATACCTCTCTTTTGGACACCGAGGTTAAACTGACTGACAGAAAAGTTAGGAGGTTATAAGATAAGAAGAAGCTGCTTCTTTTGTTAAATGAGTAAAGCCACCCACAGTCTCTGCTGTATTTGTCTTTAATGGCATTTTCACATTGGGCACAATTGTTTCGTACATTGCCTGAGCACGATTACTCCCCCCTTTCCTCTCCCTCGCTGGTCTGCATTCACATTAGTAGCATTGTTCCGTACCTGGGTACGCTTGCATATGAACACAGGCTGATACAGCAGGTGACAGTATGCATGTAGTTGGTTTGCATATCCTCCAAAAGCAAAAAGTAGAAGAAGCAATCATGGAGACCACTCCTGCTAATTGTGGAAGTTTTTTATTTCTGAGGCGCCAACAACAACCTTCCTACTAACACATCTGCTACACAGCTCAGAGGATGAAACCGGCGAATATGACAGGAGCCGTTTAGAATTACGTCATATAGCGGCCCACTTCCTTGTTTGAACATGGTTGGGTTCACATCTCCATCGGACCGTACTTAGGTACACATGAATTGTACCAAAGACGACCTCTTCAAGCTGACTCAGCCACAGTACCCGAGTAAGATACGAGTACATTACGTTTGTGTTCACAATGATCGAATGAACCGCACTTTGGGGTTAAGTATACTTGGTACCAAGCCAGGGTCCCTTACATGAAATGACCCTAAGCTCCACTGAACTAAAAGTTCGGCCATGTTTTAAACAGCTCTAATTATTTCATGGATTAGGATTCTTTACATTTTTATAGTGCAACAAGTATTTTCCCTTGTTTTGTTTTACAAGAAAGACAGAGGATGTAGTCCTCACGATGAAAACACTTAAATTAATTTAATTAGGACAGCTCATGATGTTCAAAAGGGAATAATTAAGATATTTTCCACTTTCCCACTGCCATACACAGACTGTGAACAAAGAAGTATGTCTCACTCAGAAATAATAAGGAAACCCTTTGTTTCCTCACTTTTCTGCTTTTGTTTAACTTCAGACATTTACTTGTTTTTTTATTCTTCATTAAAAATTAATTTCAATGCTGGATTCAAACTTCAATACTACTCTAGGATGCCAAGCTAAATGTAAAACTCCAGTCCAACCTCTTCACTGTGAATATTTCCAAATTAAAGGTGACTGCTTGATTGAAAAGCCTGATTGCGGTTGATTCCAGCTGAAATTGTGGTGAGTGCAGGCGTGGGTGCTGCTGATTACTGAAATAATAATGCAAAATGTCAATGCAACAGGTGGATTGTTTTCCCACCAACACTTGCACAGAACAGACTGCTTCTGTGTTGTTTCCACCAAAGGAAAGAAATGTGCAATGGTCCGGCATCGAAAGTGCAACATGAAGAAGCGATACGATTAAACCTAAGTGTTGTTTATTGGTTTATTTGGGACGAGGGCTTTCATGCTGCTTAATGGAAACATAAACATTGACTGCATCCTCTTTCATTGGAGCTTTCATTAAGAAAAAGTGAATTTGGATTGATCTCATGTGGAGAACATGTGGTCATCTTTGATGTCACTGCAGGCCTTTTATTTTACAGATGTAGCATAATTGAGCTTTTAAAGCACTTGTGAGACTTTCAGTTTGCTGACGTGACTTCATTAGTTTCACATTATTGGAAGCCATTGACGATCATTATCCTGTGTAGCCACTAGCCAGCAGTTAGCCATAAATTACTTCCAGCCAGGACTACCTTTTCCATGTGCTGCATTGTTTATCTTCAGAAGCAGCCAGAAGAAGCAGTGTTCAGATCGAAAGCAAAGCGAAATTTGCCCCTCCGGATATGTCTGCAAATGGAACCGCATCATATCGTAGTTTATTACATCCCCCAGAGTGCGCCCATTCATCTTTTTCTTATTTGTGATTCTAAACGCTAATTGGCTCTCCCGGCAGTTTATTCAGTTATTTTTATTTTTACATTATAAATGTACGTAACCATGGAAGCCTCAGTGTGATTAAGTATCTCTTTTAAAAGAGTGTCCTGGACAAGACAGGCTGCAGCACTGTTAAACATTTGCTAAAAACAACAGAAAATAAATGCAATACAGATCCAGAATCCTGGGTCACAGAGCAGAAAGTCATTAGTCAAAGCATCTACAGCCTGATGCATCTTCCTCCATACCTTATAGATGGTTTGTCACTTAAGTTAAATTTGCTCCCACCGCATGGAACTTTCTCCAAAATGACTTGAAAATGGCGGAGCTCATTTCGCTTGAAGCCTTTGGCTCGATCTTAAAAGATAAAAAAAAACGCGAGACAATTGGACAGTGCCTGTGTTTCTGAATTGTAATCTGTGATCAAGATTCTGCACTTTATTTGTAAATCAATTTGCACATTGTAAATTGTTGTTCTCTCTTAACTTATTGTTTGTAAACTGTCTCTTTATCATGTAATGCTTTTTATGACGTGTGCTGCTGCCCTCTTGGCCAGGTCACCCTTGTGAAAGAGATCCTGATCTCAATGGGTTAAATAATTTTTTTTTTTTTTTAAATGGTTTGTTTGCTGCACTTGCATACAGATCTCTGTTTATATGGTACAAGACTGCAGTCTTTACTGCAGATTGAGTTCTGCATGCTTATGAGGCAATATATCAAGTTTTTAAGATATATCTATATGATTACATATGAGATATAGGGTAAGACAATATTGTTAATATCGATATAGTTTATGTTCCGTTAAAATAAGATTATACGTTTCTTACCCAGAGCCTCCATCATCACCTATTTCTCCTCTCACTGTCTGGCCCTCTTCGCCTTGCTCCATCTCTTTCACTCTCTGAGCAAAACTCAAAAACAGCCTAGCAGGCACAGAGGGAAAAAAATATTCAAATATACAGTATATATCCTGTACTGCAAATGTACTACAAGTGCAGATACTACATTTTGATATAGAATCTGTAAATAGAGATCATGACTTTCATGAAATGCTTCATATGTGTCCTTAGTTTGTTTTTAAACACATCCTTTTTTGTCCTAGTAAAGCAGAAGTTGTTAAGTGTACATAAAGGCGTCGACTGACGTGACACTAAAGCCATGAACTCCTTCTCTGTGTCGGAAAAAGCTTCAGGGAGGAGAGCTGCTCTAAATGCAGCTGCTGTCAGGTCAACGTCAGGGATGAATATGCATGAACTGTTGGCTTCAGGTCCTTTGTCGGTCACCTGGGTGGCGCAGTCAGAGTAGTGGGCTTCAGGTGTGAGGCAGTGGGTGGTTGTACAGATTGTCTATTAATACACTGTTGCGATGGCACCCTAAATGTGACACCAACTCGGTTAAGTGTAGCGTAACTGCTTCCCTCATTGCACAAAGTCAAACTACGTTTCAGGTCAGAATGGCAAAAACATGTCAAACATTAAAAAGACCAGATGATGTTAAGTTTTGCAATCTGACCACATTGAGAAATCACTGAATCGTCAGGTCAGTTTTACTATTTCCTATTCAACATCTTTCAAGAATAAGAGCTGGAAGACACAATAGACAGACATACCTGCTGTTTCCATGGTGCTCTCAGATGCTGTCAGCCATTTTATGTGGGCTCAGTCAGGTAAAGAAAGCAATGAAGTTAGGGAATTGTGTTATGGCTCAGCTTTCACGGTGAAAGAATATGCAGTCTGATAAGCTACAGTTCAAACATGCCAGAAATTCATTTGTCCGTTCAAGGGGAGCTGATCGGGCCCTAATTGCACTCATATACACTGCATGGCAAAGGACGCGCAACTGAGCTGAAATTCAGTCTGACTTCAGAATCAGTTGTGCGAGTCATAGCTGGGTCAGAAACATCTCCAGTTTGCACAGTGTATGCCCAGACTAAGCTGGGGGCCGAAATGGAATCAAAGCCACCACTGTGAACAGTTCAGTGTTTATAAAACCTATAATCAACAATTGACATTTAGCTATGCTAAAAAAGGCCTGAACACTGATTGAAATCTGTTACATCTGTTAAATATCTTGTTTTTTATTTTTGTAATTAGAATTTTACTATAGAAGTCTGACCAAACTATTTATGAAAATGGTATTTCCATCCTTTTGAAATGCTTTAATAATACATTGACAAGAAAATAGAGTGATTAATAATTCATTGAGGTTATAATACAAAAAGACTCTTGAAATGAAAACAGATCACTTTGTTCTGGGGGGAGGTTTGTCCTGTTGTGTTTCTTAGATGTCAAGGTCATCCTGTCAACCTGGGGTCTTTGTCAGAGGTTTAGAATTCAATACATCTGTTAAACAAGTCCACATGGCTACCGGAACGATTTGTTTTTCTTTCCTTCACAGCTTATGTAAAGGCCGAACACTTTATTCTGTGGTGCGAGATGCCAAGGTTGTGCTGGATGTAAACAAGACCCGACAGATCGCACAAGAGATGGTCAAGGTACAACAACTCATGGCTGTTTGTTCACAACACTTCAGCTGTACACATTATATTCCAGAAAATTCTAATTTCTCCCTTGCTCTCTGTCCTAAGGGGATGGGCTACCTACACGCTAAAGGGATCTTACACAAAGACATGAAGTCCAAGAATGTGTTTTACGACAACGGAAAAATCGTCATCACCGACTTCGGACTCTTCACCATATCTGGGGTTCTTCAGGCTGGCAGGTAATTACAGTCAATACAAATCAGAGACAGGAGCTCATTTTTTCATTATGTGTAATATGGAGATTTGTGGTGGAAACAGAGTGACATCAGGGCTGACACACATTGTCCAGGGACAATAAAACAATGAGTGGAAGTAAACAATCAGCTCATTCACAGAAAAACAGAGTGTAAACAGTCAGCTTTGATCTTTTTTCATTTTTAAAGATAAGGTAAGTAGTTCAATTTCTAGTTCAGTTCTTTTTATACCTTAAAAATAGGACTGAACTATAAAAAGACTTAAATCTCCAAATGAGTCAAGATTATGTTTGTTTGTCAATTACCTTGATGTATCTGCATCAATCTGTGTCGATAATCAGGGGCTTGTGTTTGTGTCAACCAGGATGCCTGAAATCGTTCACCATTTCCTTAGTCTTATCCACATTAAGAGCCATGTTGAGAAGTGTAAACCAAGATGTTTGTTGTCTCACCTCAGCCCTATATGCTTATTCATCATTGTTCCTCACAAGTCCCACTTCTGTTGTCGTCAGAAAACTTGATGATGCGCTTGGTGTCAAATTAAGCACAACAGTCATGGGTAAACAGAGTCATCAGGTGGCTCAGGACACAGCCCTTGGGTGAGCCTGTGCTCACTGTGATGGGTTTCGATACGTGGCTGCCCATCCTGACTGCTGCCTCCCCGTCAGGAAGTTTAGAACTGAGTTGCTGGTACCCATATAAAACTTTAGGAACCTTAGCTTCTCAACCAGTTGTTGCGGTAGGCAGTGCTAAAGTTAAGAAAGAGGATTCCTGACATGTTCTATTCTCCAAGGTGAGAATGTGCGGGGAAGTGTGGTCATAGTGCATCTTCTGTGGATCGATATTGCATGCAAACTGTAGGGGTTCTTGGTTTGCTGGGAGGCTAGCGTTGATGTGTTGCATTACAAGTTGTTCCAAACCGCTTTATTATATGGGAGTTAGTTCAAATGTCATAATTTTGTCAGTGCTGTAAACATTACTTATTTCGGTGTGATCTTTAACCTTTAATGAGTGTTACTCAAGTGAAAATCAATCTTTCTGGTTTTGAAGGACATTCCTGCTTCTACCACTGAAGCATATAAACAGTGTTAAAGAGAGGTCTTCAAGATGAAGGAAAACAAGTTACCCAGTCAAGGTTGAGCAGAGAAATTCAATAGTGGGTGGATAAAGCGAATGTTACAAAGAGCAGGCACAGATATGTCATCAAAGAAAACAGTAATGATCAAAAGGGTTCTCACCTGCTAACAAAAAGAGTTCATTATCTGCTTCTTACCGTGTCGTGGCTTAGAGAACTGGTAATCTCTGACTGTATCTCATGAGTATCTTTGAGATTGACCTCTTGATTCTGGCACCTTTATCGATTTTCCCGAAAACAGTTTGTAAACCTTTGAAGACAGACCTGTTCATGCAGCTCAGGGAGCCTTCTAAATACAGCTACATCTGCAGCAACAGGAGGGCAGTTTTGCAGTTTCTTTCATTACCTTATTAGACCTTTCCTGTAGTAAAATATCTTTCTAACTGGAAGCAATACAAACTAGCAAACACATCTGCCCGAAAAATATCTGATAATCTGTTCTGCCAACAGGCTATGCAATAGGGTTGGGAAACACAGGGCAACACAGGATATAGTTTGATACAGGATATGTTGCCCATAATAAGGATATGATAAAACAGACATTTTGCCATAATTGATATATTCAAACTGTCTAAGAAATCTGTAAAGAGCAATTGAAAATTGAAATATCTATATTTTGAACCATCAATCTGTTGATTGTGTCACACCAGTCATGACGATGACGATATATTGAAGTATCTATATTCTGTCCTATAGCCCTACTCTTCAACATGTAACTTGTTTAAAATAAAATGTTCCTAGGTGCTACTTTTGCAAAGTTTTGCATGCTTGCTCAATCCACCTAAATTCACGAGTCAAAATCATTGCTGGAGTACTTAGCATTGTTATCCTACATATCAGCAATTCAAATGAATGAATAAAAAGTGCTTTTGTGAGACAGCACATCTGGTTTGATCCAAAGTCACAAAAAAGTGTGGACATGATTAGACTTAGAATAGATATTTAGCTTTTTGTGAATTAGGATCCCAGAGACTTCTTTATTTGCAGACAGAAAATTGCAGCAATTGCAAAAATATGCATTATGATTTGTGCCAGTGATGCCAGTGCACATCTAATATTGCTCACTCTTTTCAGAATCAATAACCTCAAAGTGTTGATTGATTGATAGAACTTTTTTGTCAGACAAAGTCTGAAAATTGTCTTGCATCACAGAGGCTCCATTTGCTACGTAAAAATTGAAGATACAAAGCTACAAACATTTGACACAACATTGAAACGCCAAACAAATATCCAAAGGCCTTTGACTGGTTTTGAGCTTGACCCTTAAAAACATCATCAACTAATCTGATAAAAGCTATCTGTACTGTAATGGATACGTGACAATGTAACATCTCAGAAGCTTAGTAGAGAAGATCTGTTAAACCTGATAAATCTACTTCTCCCTCTGCAGCCGGAGAGAAGACAAGCTGAGGATCCCAAACGGCTGGCTGTGTCACTTGGCCCCAGAAATCATCCAGCAGCTCTCTCCAGAAACAGAGGAGGACAAGCTTCCCTTCTCCAAACAGTCAGATGTCTTTGCTTTTGGGTAAGTATGGCCATGGTATGGTGTTGGACATTCAGAGTCCACTGTTGACAGAAAGGTTTTACAAATTCATATATGCTGGTGGATTCGATAGATTCTAACTTTAAAAAAATCCACATTATATGACAAAGCAGCAACTCTCAAAAACAGTCAATTAGTCAGCTCAAAGAAAAATGAGTAATGACAATTCTGTTTTTGTTATAGTCAGACTTAATACCTACTATTTAACAATCTAATGAGCACGACAAACCCTTTTGAAATGCTTTACCCACCCAATAATTGCTTTACAAATATAGGATTTTGACATCAACTCCACTTTGTCCCATATGCCTGATTATGGGTAATATCACATATTCTCAGTAAGATTAAAGGCACTCACTTATTAGGAATGGACCCCTTGTTATGGTGGAGCACAAAGAAGCAAGACGACTAGAGTGTTACTGAAGAGAATGAAAACGCCTGGTTGATGATTGAACAAATGATGCAAACCAAGAGATATTTTTCTTCAAACCTCAAACTGGATTATTGCAGGAAGTGAGAATGTTGATGAGCTAAGAAACTTACTGTAGGTGAATTAATAAAGCAGAAGGGATGGCTGAAAGAGCAGAGGGGATAGATTTAAAAATCACACAGATTTTCTGATTGAACATTTGTTTAACTTTACCTCATTGAAGCTTTTACATTTGGGCCTCCAAACATCTGCTGTCTGGTTAGGGGTTTACAAATTAGAAAGTCTGAGCTGCATTGGAGGTGATGGGGGTTATATAATTGGTAAGTATCAGGAGTTTTATGCAATCGAGTACAAGAATTAAACCCCCATTGTCAAACTACGGAGCAGGATATCACAAGGGCCAATACATTTTGGATGACAAATGAACAGATTTAGCCTTGAAAACAATTTATAAATACAGGGAAAATATTAAAGATGGTTTATGCAAAGAAAGGCTGCAGACACAAGATTGCACAGGATGATAAAAGCTACATTATGGATGGTTTGTAGGGGGAGGGGTTGTATGTTTTCTTCTTGATGAAGAGAAGCTGCAGTCTGAATTTGTATTACCTATTCAAGAATATTTTAATATTTGTTATTAATCTACATCAGCTCACTTTTGTTATCAAATGCACAGTAACAGAAAAGCAAACTACGGACAATTTAAATGTGAGCACAGAGATGCTATAAAATAAGACAGAAAGGTTTAAGTGTGTTTTTGTTGACTTTAATTCTTTAATCCTCAGTCTGCATTGTTGTTGTTTTTTTGCTATTTAAAGCACCTAACAGCATTTTGGTATGAAAAGTGTTGTATGAATAAGTTGGGTAAAGTTATCTATTTCATTAATATCTGAAATGAAAAAAAAACACCACTTTCCTGGAGCCTCTTTGTCAAAACTATGCACCCTTTAACTTTTTTCTGACCCAAATCCTTGTACCAGCCCCATTGGTCATTACATACAGATTGCTTTTTTAAGTGTCACCTAGGGCTCTCAGATCAAGGTGTCCTCCCCCTCTGACTCTAAAGTCCAATTTAAAAATTGTCCTACGTATATTAAAAATTACCCACGGCTTCTGTTCTCCTTCCTCCTCCGTTACTGATTCACTTGTGGAGGAGGACCCGAACCTGTTACCTTTTGACATCTAGCACAATTACATATATGGAGGTTTCTTCGCTATATCATACTGGAGGAAAGAAGAGTGCAGCCCAGCTGCTCTGTTAGCTCTTGTGTTACCTTGAGGTGACCCCCATGGCTGTTTTACATATTCATTAACAATCAGCTGTCTTTTTTTTTTTACCATACTCCTGGCACAGAGCTATTTTTAGGCTTGTCAAACATAGGACCAGAATGGAAACAACAGCTTATTTGCACAGGTAGGGGAGGTGTATGCTAATTTTGAACAACCCGTAATTATAAATGTATTCTTTCTGAAACTTATGGCTAAAATTGCTCTTCAAAACTTAAGCTGAAGAGAATATGTATCCACAAAATACAAGTTATTTCTGCCTATCCCAAAGAGGACATAACCACAGGCTTTAATGGGTTTTAGCTGCCGTGACAAAAATCTTACTTAGTAGAGGGGATCCGTCAATCAACCAGTCACATCGCTGACATCACCCTCATAGGGAGCCCATATACTCTTTTTTATATCAAATTATATGGTAAGGTTATCGTGTGTGTGTGTGTGTGTGTGTGTGTGTGTGTGCGTGTGTGTGTGCGCGTGTGCGTGCGCGTGCGCGTGCGCGTGTGTGTGTGTATATATCTCAGAAAACAGCTCTTGTTAGCATACAGTCACATCATTGCTTACATTACTGTCATGACATATGACTGAAAACATTAATTAACTCTAAAAACCTTTGGCTAATAAACAGAAATTGGCGAGTTAATGGGCTAGCTTGATTTAAATTGTAAAGATGAGGAGACACAATCAAAGGTTAATGTTAAAGGAAAGTAGCTGAATGCTAACGTTTTCTGTTCTCTAATGCTAGCCAGTTTGTTATTTGATATGTTATCTTAACTTGAAATATGTTGAAATGTCCCTTGGGCTTTTATATGTCATTCTCAGCTCAGTTGCTTATTCATTTGGAAACGTACTGCAGTTTTAATATTACATTTCGCTACCTACAATGGGCTTGATGTCAGGAGAAATAGCTGCCAAGTGAGTGTGGTCAACAGTGTTTTGACGATAGTAATATTCTTCTCTTACCAGAAAGTTGAAAGAACTTTATTTTCCTCTTCCTTTACAGCACCGTCTGGTACGAGTTACATGCACGTGAGTGGCCTTACAAGAGTCAGCCAGCGGAGGTGATAATTTGGCAGATTGGCAGTGGGATGAAGCCCAACCTCGCCCAAACTGGAATGGGGAAGGAAATATCTGTAAGATCTCTCTTTCATTTGAATGTGTTACAACATATGAGTCACTCTGTTTTTTTCATCCGTGGTGAACTTCTGCATATTTTTCATGCTTGATTAGAGATTTAAGACTCGATTTTCACCAACATGTATTCTGAACCTTGAAAAGTTAACTTTACATGATCGCGACAATGACAAATCAAGAGCTGGATTATAGACCTGCTATGTTACTCATTTATTCACAGATATCAGTCTGAGTTAGACTTTTAGACCAGTGGTTCTCAGTCTGAATCTGTTATTTCTCCCCAACAAGGATGTTTTTTTAAGATGCCCGTCTCCCATGTGATAGTAGCTTTGCCTGTTTTTGTAATTTGCAGTAACAAATTGTTTCCTCCTTGGTCGCCTTAACTTTGCTAAACTCCTCCACCAATCTTTCTCCTTGAAACAACCCAAGTTTCTGCTTTTACAGATCCAGATGGTCTTTACTAAAAATAGAACCATGGAATGGCTGTAGTAATTATGGCGGGAGCAAAGGATGAAGTCAGATGACGTAGAATAAAGTGAAAGAAAATGTGTTAGAGATGGCAGTTTGCTAGGTCAAACAAAAGCATGACTTCAACCCAGGAGACTGGTGTCTGAACATAGACTGTAGAACGTAGGAGGATGTAGCCTTTTAAAGCATGAAGTCAGTATGGAAGTGCCTTAAACCTGCACTCCTTCTAATGCTGACTGTAAAGAAACAGATGAGAAGCCTTACTCTAAGATGATTTACTAAATCAGTAAACATTTTCTCAATGAGTAACTGGTCACAACACCTAGCTTAAAATCTTCTAAAATACAGTATGATGCTAATTTTGTAAACTATGGCCCAATGGTAGGCTAGTTACTGCCATTGTGACCTTGTAATCTTGGATAAAGATGTAGCTATGTGGCTACTAGTATTTGAGTACTCGAGTACACATGAATCGTGTCCGAGACCACCTCTTCAGGTGGACGTTACCCGAGTACGTCATGAGTACAGTATGTTTGTGTTCACACTGATCAAATGAACCAGACTTTGAGGTCAAGCATACTTAGATCCGGGCCGGGGACCACCTTCATTTAGGCATTAATAAATCTACTCGTTTCTTAGCTGGTTTAGTTAGATAGACTGACACAAGATGCCTGTAATGAGTAACTTTGTTCAGTTGGAGTAAAGCCAGGTATGACTCAGATTTCTGATATTTTGATTTGGCGCCGTGCGTTGTAAGGAAACTATGTTTGTGCACACCAGCAAGCAAAAGCAAAATGTCAATAACCTTTAATCTCACAAAACATCGTTTCCTTATATCTCTCCCTCCATTTTTCCACTTTAACCTGAAAGCTAAATAAATGTATAATGTCTTTTCCAGGACATTCTTCTTCTGTGCTGGGCGTACAAGCAGGACGAGCGGCCCAGCTTCTCCAAGCTGGTAGATTTACTGGAAAAATTGCCAAAACGGAACCGTCGCCTTTCCCACCCAGGGCACTTCTGGAAGTCAGCTGAGTATGTCAAATGAGTTAGGGACACAAAACAGCAAACAATCAGCAACAAGTATAAAAACAAACAGCCGCCATAACTCTCTTCATAAATAACCCACCTCCTTAAAGAATGCACTGAATCCAAAAGCCAGCCCAGTGATGAAAACTGCCCGTGCTGTGTGTACTTTCATGGAATGTTGGCATGTGTGTGTACAGATAAGTTGACTGTCCAGCTTCTCAAAAGTCGGGACTCATATTTTCTTTGGTTTGATTTGAACCATACAGGATTTTTTTTTCCTTAATCTTTTTTTTTTTTGTCTTTTACTATTGAACTGAACCGCTCATAAATATTGGTTTACTTCCTGGATGTACCTTGTTTGTACCTTTTCAACTGATCACGCCATCTTGGACTTTAGAAACACATGTTTGAGTACAAATGAAGATTTTTTTTTTTCCATGTGTTTTTTCTTTGAATGAATGTAAATTTTGTATGTCATGCATTGTATATTTCACGACATTGTCTTGCCATTCTTATGTCTGTCAACTGTGGAAAAGCATTTTTTCAGTGTTTTGTCATTGTCTCATGTGTGGATGTCTGCACAGGTTCTATGTTTGTCTAAAAAGCTTTATTTGACTCTAAAATGTCCTCTTATTTACACCGTACCATTTGAATGTGAAGAAGCCAGCGCCCCTGTTTGTATGGGGATGTGACGGTGCAGTTTTGGAGGGAGAATATTCTCTGATCAGCCTGTGCTTTGAATTTTGCCTGTGAACATAATTAAGACATTAGAACAATAACTTAAGAGGGTAAAGAAGCCGCTGGTCAGACCAGGACTCCCACACTTGATGCTGTCCTGTGAAATTCTGACGCTTGAAATGTATCTTGTCAACAGAACCAACTACACAGCTACCACTGAGCCCCCTACAAAATGCCTTTCCCCAGAAATAACTATAATGTATTTTATTTGTCTTCAAATAGCTAATCAACGAGAAAGAATATAATAAAAACAGATACTAATTTAAACGTTTTACTGTATTTTCAGTGCAGTAAGTACATTTATTTACAGAGGTTATTATATTCATAAATACACCAAATGTTGTTGATCAGGAATAACATTACGTTTTTTGAGTAATGAACTAAATAGTCTAAAACAATAGTTTAGAAACTACCTATTGCTGATGGGTCTGAGGTCTGAGGATGCAGAAAATCGGATGCAGAAAGTAAAAAGGAGGTTTACAGATTTAGAGCTCTATAATGATGTGACTGTTAGACACATAAAAGGAGGGCATTCAATATGTTCTTAGAAACCTAAGATTTCAGTTTTATTTTGGGCTCTTTTCATTTCTTCATAGTTGCTCAAAGGCAGTGTTGTAGTCTCTTTGAATAGTAAGTCTTAATGCATCCTCCTTTTATTTCAAATATTTTATTTCTTTTCCATTTATGTTACTTTAATGCCATTTTCATTTTTGTTTTATGCAGATTAAGATCTAAAAAGCCTCATTGATAGCTTATACAAGCTATATAAAGGTGTGTGAGAAAGTAATGCACATTTAATTTGAGAGACAGCTAGATTTTTTTCAAGTTAGAGCTAATTACAGCAGGATTGCTGAGGGTAAATCTGTTTTGCATTTAGCTAAATGTCAAGCTATGTACTGTACAGTACGAGTCGCACACATGAAGAACAGTCAAAAAGAACCAGAATACTGGCTCAGAAATATTCCTTCCACAGCATATAAGCTTAGTTCCAGTAAATAAGAATTGCTGTGGTACTGAATTGAGAAGTGCAACATTATAGTATGTGTGGCTCGTAGTCTTACTGAATATTTCAAGATCATATCATCACTTCAAGTTTATTTAAACAGAGGACAACAGTCTGAGCTGTACTATACAGAGTCTGTGCACGTAGTGAGCTAGCCACAGAATAGACCGTTGTAGAAAAAGTTTTTTTTTTAGGCTGAACAACCGTAGAGAACGGTGTAAAACGTGATGAGCAGTTAAGAAAAATGTGTCATGTCCTCTCACATCAGTAATAAAAAAACAATTTGTCTGATGTTTGGAGTTATACTTATCATTAGCAATTGCAACAATTTGAGCAAAACATTATCACTTTCTCCTTGCACATATCCAGCTTTGTTTTTTAATCATTTCTAAACATATATGTATATATATATATAAAAAAAACAGGTCTTGTTATAACTGAGCTGCTCGACTACAACACTGCTGAAAGGGCGACTGTGGAAGACAAATGAATCGTTTTAAAAATCAAGAAATAATTTATGAACACACATGACATGTAATGTGACTTTTCTTGGATTATAAAGTTAAAGTAACAACTAAGTAACTTTAATCTGGCTGAACTTTCCCTTTAACATATCAGAATAAACATATCAGGATGCTAAAGACCACCCCCCCATACCATTTTTCTACTTCATACTGTATATCATAGTATATTTTAAATGTCATGTTTTTTAGATATTGCAAATGTAAGCTATATCATCATGAATTGGAAGCTGTGGCGTCATTCAAGCTGTATACTGCTTTTGATTCTCTCTAGCCACGTGGAATAGATAGAGACAATCCAATCATGTTAAAATAGCCATTTTCCACCTCATTATATACACATCTGTGTGTTGGAAAATGCATACAAACAATCTGCTGCTGATTTTTGGAGTCTGTCTGTCTATTTTGGAATTGCTGGGACTCAAATATTGTAAGTGGGTCATTTATATTTGTACTGTTTACAACTTTCAAGTGCATGAGATGGACTATCAAAGATTGAGTCTTGTATTGAAAAAAAAATAGTCCTTCTACACTATATATAATAAGTATGTGAGCATTTTTTTTTCTGATGAACTGTTGTCCATTGAGCAGTTTGATCTCAATATCAACTGAAGTTTTTTTCGTCAGGCTTTGCAAAACTTTTCAACGGCTTTGTTTGAGAGAATGATTGTTTCAGAATATTTATAGATTATATAATGATTAGACTAGCATTTAAATTTAAAAAAAAGAAAAGAAGAGTTGCAACCTGTGCACATTATAGATTTGACAACAACCTGACTGGACAACAATCAAAGATCTTACATTTAGTGCCAAGTGTACATAACCGATTGTAGACTATGTTTTACCGTCATTTGCCGTAATATCAATATTCCTTGTGAGATTTTTTGACTTCTTTCTTTTGAATGTACAAATTGTGTTGTGTTACTTTATTTTTGTTTGTTATTTGTTTTCTGTTCTTTTGAGTTCTCTTTTTCTCCATTTTTCCTTCTTATTGCATAGGCATTGATGCTGTGTTGTTTCTTTTTCTTGATTCCGTCCTTGTATTGTAGATGATAGCTCCGAAAAGCTTGTATTTAATGATGCCTTATGGTCCATGGCTTAGTGATGAGTAGATTTTTGATCACAAGCTCTTTTATTTGCACTCATCCTTTAAAAAGTGTATGAAAAATAAAAAGATGTTTTCATTTGGGGCGTTTTCTGTTTCTTTTGATGTCATCTTTTATCTTAGCCAACCCTTATCCATATTTTTACTTTGGTTGAAATTGTTCACGCCTTCGGAGAGCAGATTTAAGAATCAATCAATACTTACTGCTGAGTTTATTCATCAGAGCTTTTATAATCAATCAATCAGGGTTGCTGCAGTCGTTTTAACATCAAATAAAATACTTTTTAAGACCCAAACAAAGACACATTTATACCATCTTTGCTTCTTACTTTATGGATGCATATGGGACTAAACAGCTTTGATTCCAATATTCCTAACCCTTGCAACCATTCCCAGTATCTTTCACCTCATCGCCAAATTTCCTTGAACTTGCATTTTCCTTTTGTCTTCCATTACCAGTTCATGAATGCAGGCTTAATACGCTGCCAAAATGCCGCTGTAGTTGCTGTCAATTGTCACCTGAACAAGCAAATCGACAAAAGGAATGATAAAAAAAATGTATAACACTAACTAGACAGTTAACATTTGATATAGTAATCAGATATGTCTCAGACAAAGTGCCATCTACAATTTAATAACTAAAAGTCACAATAAGACTTTCAATTTGAATTTAAAAAAAATCTAATATAAGACTTTATTTTGCCTTTTTAAGAATCCGCAGGAACCCTGTCTTTGAGAGATGCAATCTCTTCTGATTTTAAAAGTTACATTTTGATGATGTTTGTGCTCAAGTTCTTCATTGTAATAATAAAATACAACGATCCTCCAAAAAATGAAGGAAACACCAATCAACTAACGACATGAGCAGTACTGTTTAAAGGCTGTACCTTCTACTTTTACAGAGAAATGTGGCTGCTTATGTGGAATATGAACCCTGGGAAGAATAGATGTTATGTGAATAGATGTCCAATGTAAAATAAATAGAACTAAGGTGTAATGGCAAGAGACGATAGCATTATCTTAAAAGATTTGACACTTGTTTTACACATTTTTGCATCTGGAAAAACAAATAGTGAGACACACAACACATTATAACCACAATTGTTCCACTTTTTTAAAGATGAAATAAGGTATAGAATAAATATTTAATGTTTTATTCTTGAATTAAAGACTGGCTTAAAATAATGCTTCCACTTGTTGTTTATGCAGTAAAAATACCGCTACCCTGCAGCTTCTTGTGAATGAAAATCAGTAACCCTAAATTCACTTCCTATTAGCTTAAAAATACAAGTTGTTGTCCTCTAAATGAAAAACAAATAGATTTTGCTTCTTAAAAAAGGTAACTCTGGTGGGAAAAGGAAATAAGAGAGACAAACTGGTTTAAGCTGGTTTCTTTTCAGAAAATCTTGTGAAATGGTTGGGCGGGGGGAACTATACTTCTCTATTAAGATGTCTGATGTTTGAAGTTCACTGGCTTATTCATTTCTATACTTTAGCTTTCCTGTTACCATGACATCCATGAACTGAGCTTGGTTGGCTTCATCATTCAGGAGAGCTTTAACCTCTGTGTAGTTACATTAAGAAACCATTTTCAGCTAATTTTAGTGAAAGCAGAAAAATAACATGGCAATAACCCTGAAAACAAATAGTCTAGTAATTTTCTCATTGGCAAATGGGGAATCTTTTCGGATTTTTTAGCTGTTCTTTATGCTTGTGGAATTGATCCGAAACAGATGAGCAAAGCAAAGAAAGACTCCATTTACGCCTTGCATTTACAGTACATTGAATCTGTATATGAATACCTGGAATATGAACATGAATACAAAGTATGAATTCATACATGTAGACAATGCATTATGATGAAAGCGCAAGATTTTTGGGGTGATAACATTATGATCCAATGTCAGCAAATCTGTATAGCATGACTAAGGCCAAGGGGTTGGAAGATTAGGTTAGAACTCTGCTTTTTAGTGTGCTTAAGTCAAGGAGGAAGCAGAATTAGTAACAACAGCTAGCATGTCACCTTAAAGAACGTTTGATTGGTCAGTTGAGGATTGTAATCTAAGAAACATGTCTTCCCAAGTCAAGGGAAGTTGTGTAACAGACATTAAAGTTTAATTTGATAAGAAAGAGCACACTAGCTTCTGCAATGTGTAGCTATAGTGAGTGCTGCAATTTATTTTATGGGCAAGAAAGCAGACTGGATCACATGAAGATCAGAAGTGATTGTGAATTTATCAGAAGTTAAGGAAAGAATCGAAAACAGTCAGCTTGACTTTATAATCAAACAGGTTTTCTTTATATATTTCTTTTCGTCACTGCACTTGAGGAGATCCCTTCCTAGCTGTGATTGATATGGAAAAAATACGTAATCTTTGTCCGATACAAAAATCCAATCCAGAGTTTATCTAAATCCAATAACATTCAAGCAGTCCCAGAAGGTTGAGTGAGTAAATATCTTCCCTAGTTACAGCCTATGTTTTTCCTTTTAACAAAAACAGTTCAATGTAAATATAAGCAAACAACAGTTGTTTTAGGAGAGACTTAAAAAATGCAAACTTGTCTTAAAGGTTTTGCAATGAGAATATGTTCATACTGTACGGATTGCCTTAGCAGCGGACTAAGAACCGTTCACATGATCTGACGGAAAAGGTCACAGTAATATTAAGATGTGCTGAGCTTGGATTTACAATTCATAATAAAGTAAATGAACAGACATTATTGCAAAGGTGAAATATAATGTTTTGCTTAATAAACCAGCCTCTTATTAAAAAGGTGAGAGGTTTTCCTCAGTGTTTATTCTAGGAAACTATAGCTGTACAAAGGAGTAATTTATTCACATCAGTGATCCTGTTCAAACAGTAGAAATACTTAGATCTCTCATTGTCCTTAACCTCCTCTTTGAGCGAGTTGGTATATTAAATGCAGTTTGAGCATTATTGTGTATGTGTTTGGCCCACGGTGTAAGACCTGTGAGTAGATGGTTGAAAATGAGCCAGTGCAGGCATGCAGCTGTAAAATAGAATGATAAATAAATAGATGGACCGATGAAAACTCTACCTATCTATATAGCCAGCTGTTCTCCCTTCTCTTCTTCTCCACCTCAGAAGTCCAGCCTTGCCCACTGATGTGTAATAAGATCCACATCACCCAATCTCAGGGAGGCTGAAGCCCATCAGAGCGTGAATGTTGGGTTTCTGTCAAGAGTTTTCAAAGTGTTAAAACCTGCAAGGTTCAGTGCATTTCTTGTCACAAAGAACAAAAATGAAAACCATTTGAGATTTAAGTGACAATTCCAATCAAACATTAACAGGCAAAATCTGTAAAGGTTATTTAATTCATGAATAATAATAAATAAATAGGAATGCACTCTGCACGTTCCCACAGATGATATAGGTCATGTGTAACTCCCTCACGAATCTTAAGTGTTCAAAAGATATGTTGGCTCCACAGAAATGATGCTCAGGTTCATGTACAACTGTGACTTTAATAGTTTCTATTAATATTGGCTCAGCCATGTAGCATTTATAGGCTATGGAACATAATCAAGTTCAGTCACAATGAAAATAAATAGGAGAAAGTTTAATTAGAGTTCAAATAAATCCATTGATTGGTATCACATCAGAAAGAAATCATCCACAAAAGGTATGTTTAGATACAGCTAACGCTTGTATTGGTTCACACACAAGACCAAATGTGCACTCTGTTAACAAATGCTCAACCACTTGTTGAAGCTAGCTAGCATCCCCACAACCAAGGTTGGGAGATTTGCTGCTAACCAATCATAGCATTGCAACTTGTGATGTATCTCTACGTTGCTAGGGTAGCCAGCTAGTTTGATCATCCAATTTATATTAGCCTACTGCTATAGAAGGTTATTTGGTATGACATGATTTAAGAGCCAACACTTTCCATTTTTGAATAATGCTATCTACATTCTAGTCTGTTTATTACAGAAGGGAAAGCGGACTCTGAAATGTACACATCAGTCGCAGCCATTTATGTTATTTACAAAATATCTTGATGCCAGAAGGGAGGCAGAGGGGTAGGAGAAACATCTGTCGAAGTAAATAATACATGAGTTTACCGATGGGTCTGATTCCCACATTGTAGATTAAGACTTCGCTGATTTGTAGGGCAGACACCTGCAGCACCATATTTGGTCACTGGGGTAAATTGGCAAACATACTCTCCCATATCCTTTGACCTTTCCATGCAATGTGATTGCTCTCTCTGCCTTACTCATAACAACTCAAAGGTAAATGTAACAAGACCTGCTGGAAGCTTTTAATGAGGTATTCTGGGAAATGTAAGGTGTGTAAGACACCAGTAGACACCACCAGAAAATACATGAACATATATAGCACCAAGAATGACTAACTCATGGCTAGCATCAAACACCACATCTGGCAGGAATAATCTTCAGAATTTCTTCTTCCTTTAAAAAACCTTTTTTTTTCATTTGTTTAATGGGGCTGATCATATCCATAATGTTCACTGTTCAAAATATAACATGCACATCTACAAAATGTACAATGTATTTTAAAAATAGCCAATTTTGAGCAGCAAATTAGGTCTGCCATGTATCCTCCAAGGACCATAGAGATTTCTTTATTCATTTAAAGACACCCACGTGGATGTGTTTCATTAGACCAGAGATTGGAAATGGAGTCAGAGAATGAGAGACAGCGAGAGAGAGAGAGAGAGAGAGCGAGAGAGAGAGAGAGAGAGAGAGAGAGTATGAGCAGTGCAAGGTGTGCAATAGGTGGATGTCCTCAAGGTCTAGCTTTACTGAGCCCAAAGCCATGCCAGGGAAGAAATACTTGTTAAACCAGGAGGCTAAAAAAAACATGTTGGCAACACCTGTATATGCATAGCAGTAAATCCCACGCAGCTGTTGGCCTAATTCAAAGAGCACATACATTTAACGCTAATGCCATATATACACTTGCAATCAAATCAAGTGGAAATGTCTTGCTGACTGAATAATTACCAGTGAGGCAGTTTGTCTGACATAGTTAGGGAAGAACTTTTTGGCGCGGTCAATGTGCTGATTTCACATTGTGCTCAATAGCCTGAGAGT